AACCAATCGCCGCGGACGATAATTTGTTTTCGTCTGGACGAAAAAAATTCCAGAGAACTGATCGTCCTGTACGATATTTATTTTCGTCTGGACAAAAATTTTCCAGAGGACTGGTCGCCTCGTACGATGGTAAAATTCGTCTGGACGAAAAGTTTACAGTGAACCCATCGCCTGGGACGATAATAAATTTCGTCCTGGACGAATAGGACTTAGAAAATTTTTCAAAGCAAGTTCCTATTCGTTCCAAGTGCTCTATAGGAGATAACTGACAGATCGTCCAGTACGATAAATATCGTCCTGTACGATCAGTATAGAATTTCAAGATCTCCTTATTTGTGTGTGTGAGATTTTATTCACTCAATTACAATCACTCCCTTTCAAAATTAATTCAAAGAAAAGACAAACATCAATTAAACAAAATATCTCATGTTGAATTTGAATTGAAGTTTTCGTAGTCTGGAGTCTGATTTTCCTGAAATGTTAGTACACACAAGAGCAAGTGCAAATCTTCTGAAATTGTTAGGAGATAACTATACATTTGAACAATAATGTTTGGAATCATCAAAACTACATAAGTTGCATAAATATAACTCATTCAAATAGCAACTATTCAAACAATAAGAAGGAACGTAGTCGACAGGCGACGGAGGTCGGAAGGATCGTTGTCTAGCGATAGAGGCTAAAAAGATCATAGTAGGTGGGAGATGGAGAATAGAAGGACCTCTGACCGACAGAAGTCCAACATCGGGCAGAAATCTGATGCAGGCAGAAGTCTTGTATCGGGTAGAAGTCTGACGAAAGTTTGGTGACTGGTAAAAGTCTAATGAGGGTAAACGTCTGGCGTCAGGTAGAAGTCTGGCAACGGACAGATGTCCAGTGCCAAATAGAAGTCCGACGACTGGTAAAAGTCCAGAGACGGGTGGAAGTCCGACTTCAGGTCGAAGTCCAACAATGGAAAAAACTCTGGCGACGGGCAGAAATTCGATGTCGGGTACAAGTACAAAAATGGACAAAAATCTGACGATGGGTGAAAGTTTTGTGTCGGGTAGAAGTCCGACAAAAGTGCTGCGTTGGGCAGATATCTGGAGACGGGCAAAAGTTTTTCATCAAGTAGAATTCTAATGAAAGTTCAGCGACGGGTAGAAGTTCAGAGATGATTTGATGTCCGGTGATGGGCGGATGTCCAGCGTTAGGTCAAAATCCAACGACAAGTTGAAGTCCGTCGTTTGGTGGAATTCCGGTGATGGATAAAAGTCTAGTGACTGGTGAAAGTTCGTCGTCGAGTAGAAATATGGCGACGGATGGAAGTTTGACTTTAGGTAAAAATCTAGCGACCGACCAAAGACTGGAGTTAGTTGGTGGCTGGGAGAAAATCCGGCGTCAGTTGGTGGTCAGGAAAAAAATTGACTTTCATCAGTAGATGGGTGAAAGTTTAGTGTCAGTAGATGGCCAGGTTGAAGTCTAGTGGTGATCGAGGAGGAGTCTGGTGGAAATAAGACTCTTCCTTCTCTTCCCTCTCTTCTTGCTTGGGTCCCTTCTTTCCTCCCCCTTGCTTGGGTCCCCTTCTCATGAGAAATAAAGTGTTGATTTATAGTTTTCTGGGAGTGGCATGACCAGTAAATAGGAGGAAAATCAATTGTAAATTGGGAGTTATTTGAATAGACAGCCGATGTTGAATCCCTCTTTCATGGACCGTTTACCAGACATTTGACTGTCTTAATGATATCAGAGTTTGATAATCTTGGGATCATTAGATTAGTTTGTTGAGCTGCTCGATTCGACTATAACCATGTCATGTTTAAAAAATGTTTAGTAATCCAAATTATGGATTGAACCTTCCAAATGTGCTTCAAGTTCTTGATTTGGACTCATTTGAGCTCTGATTGAATCAAATTTGGTGTCGTCGGGTTCGTATTTTTGAGACGTTCAGTTCAACTATAGGTTTGTTGAAATCGGAGTTCAAATAGTCTCCAAATTAACATACCAAAATCTGAAAAAATTTTACAAAGCGGTGAAATGGATCGAAGATCAAAATGAAAACTTTTTCTTTCTTCTTTCCTCTTTCCTCCTTCCCTTCTCCCTTCCATAGTAAGTTGGAGTTGGTGGGTGAGGATACATGAGTGATTGGAGTAAAATGGATTTTAATATGTATAAAAATTTATTTTAGTGCATACCATTGTAACGCCAGCATCGCAGTGTTGTATACTAAATTTAAAATTACTATATAATAGAGCCTTCAATATCGTGGTGGAAACTTTTGGCACTGTTGTGCTTACAAGCCAGTGCTGCCACATACACAAGCTCAACACCACAGCGCTCAGTTCAAACTAAAATTTAGATTTCCCATTTTAAATTTATTTAAAATTTTAGGTTGTTACAATTTACCCACCATAAAAAAATATCATCCTCAATATTTTCTATAAGAATTCATGCATAAAGACAGTATATAATAAATTCATTCAAAAAAAATCCATATCAAAATATAATTAAAGCGGATTGAAGGATTTACATCAACCTAGAAATAGCTTTCTTATATAGTCACGCATTTCATTCAATCACATGTCATTCACTTATGAATGCTATGTCAATCAATCATTCAAAATAAATTTCTTACCAGTCAAACTCTCTGGTTTTAGTCTGTCTTCCTAATACTGCAAGTTATGCACTCATGACATCACTAGAGTAGGTACTGTTGGTGCATTAGGACCCATGATAGCTCTATCATTGGCCCTATTCATAAATCTTTCATTATATTCTCTCAATCCTATAGTCTTTTGTCCTTAAGACTGCCTAGATTGTCCTGCTCCAAAATTAGTTCTTCCTTTCTGAAGATAATATGTATTAAGTGAAAATTATACTTATTTTTTATTGAGTTAAATTCCAATAAAAATATTTTTTTAGTTGATGTTGTGCAAGAATGTCTTAGAAAAAATGATGAAAATTTACAAAGTTAGAATTAACTATGCAACACCCCGAACATCAGTGTCAGTAAGCCTACAATGCCCATTGTCAAAACCATACATTATAGCACCACAGTCTCAAAAAAATTGAATTTAATTTAGAGCCTTGCTAGAATAAATGCCATCGCCACAATGCTATGAGCACCTCTACTCCATAAAAGGAACACTGCAGTGCTCTACACTGTCAAATTCATCAATAATTCAAACTTGAAGTGCCAACCTCTAAAGCACCACAACAATGAAAGATAAGAAAAGCAATATAGTGCCCAATCTTTTGCAATGTCAAAGTAGAGTAGTTATGAAAGAAAGCATAACACCAAATTGATCATGCATCATGCCTGGTTAGTCCAATGCTGCAACTAAGCTAATTTAGTAGTTCCAAGGTGCTAATTCATATTTTAACACCGTGGTGCCACCCTTTCGAGTGACGTGATGCATGAGTCTATTTATATAAAAATAAATAGTTATTATTGCGTTTTTTATGAGTCCATCCTAAAGTCCATAGAGCGATACTAGAGGATAATGAGATAAGTTTAGTGGAGTGGCTAGTCATCCTTATAGTGAGTAAAATAACACTTAAGAGTGGAAAGGAGTGTGGAAAGTGAAGTTGTAAGGAGGGTTCACTTATGGGAGACTCCATTTGCAGGATCTATTTAGGATTCTCCATTATGGGTGATATTTTCTTCATCTTTTCTATTTGTAACCTTTTTTAAGCAAGTAATGAAAAATGTTTTGCTCCAAATTATTTCTATAGCCCTAAACTTCTTATTTTGGGATGATGATATGAATAATCTATGTATATTCTAATATAGACTCTTGTACATAAAGGTTAATCACAATTCTCAATTTCTCTTATGCTTTATTTAATTTATGCAATGACCATGTATAAATTTAAAAACTAGTGTGATACATTACTTTAGTAGAGGAATGTTAAAAAAATTAGGAGAATTGAGATGGAATGCTTTTATACTTAGATATAAGATGAGTAAGATTCTAGATTTTATGGAGATAATATCATTGTAGAAAGATCATAAATCTTTCTTTACACCTTTATAAGGTTGACATAGATCTAAGGGTATTTATGCCTGATCCAGTGCTATTATAAATGATTATGGTTAGGAAAACATAGGTTCATTCACTATCATTAGCTTAAAACATCTTTAATTATATGTATCTTCACTATTTTATGCATTTCTCAGTAGTTATAATATTTGTTCTTTTTTTCATTGCATAGGATAAATTTAATAGCTTATGTGGATAGTACTAGAGTCAACTGTAGCATCATATTTTCTCATAGGATTGACACTCTCTCATACATCTTATTACTTGATCAACACATACGATTGTGTTATTTAAGAGCTTATAAAATATATATTCATAATACCAAGTCAATTCATAAGAAGCAGATAACTTGCCCAAAAACTAATTTTTTGGCGTTGTTATTGGGGAAATAATGTATGCTTTTGTAATTATCTTTATATTATCCAAAAAATGTTGTATATTTAACCCTACTTAATTTATTTTGGTATTTATTATTATTGCTGTCACTAGTGAAACTGTGAACTTATTTTTTTATAATTATTATTTTTAAGTTGTTATATTGGATTTTATTTCCTATTTATTGTTGTTGTATACATAGTAAATCCAATAAAGGACCATTATTATTTGAACTAGTAATAGAAATAACCCATAAAAATTTTTAAAAACTAAATAGATTTTAGTTATAGGAATGGCCAAACTAAATCCAAATCAGAACCATCCTAGACCTCTTAGGGAGTGTGCTGATCCCATAGTTGAAAAAATTCATCAGAGTATCAACTGATCTACAATCCAAGAAAATACTTTTGAGCTAAATCCTACAAGATCCAAATGGTTTAGAAGTCTTAGTTTAGAAAAACTACTTTTGAGGACCCCGACTTATATTTAGCAAGGTTTTTTAGAAATTTATGCAACATTTGTTATAATGGAATCAATAATGATTCTATTTGACATACATCTATTTGAATTATCTCTAAGTACTTTCCATCTTCTAAAATTGTAAAGTTTAGGAGTGATATTACTTCTTTTTCCCAATTTTATGGAGAGTCAATTTATGAGAGCTAGGAAAAATTTAAGGAGATGATTAGAAAGTGCTCTCAACATATTTTGCTAGATTGGTTGGTTATTAAAACTTTTTATAATTTTCTTGTAGAATCCCTTAGGTAAATAATTGATGCAACTTCTAGATGATCTTTAATGTCAAAATATTTTGATGAGGCTTATGTCTTGATAGAGAAAATGAAAACAAATAACTTTTAGTTATGATAGGGTGAATCCTAAGAAAGTAGCTAGTGTTTTATGAGTAGGATGTTTTACCTATTTATATTGCTCAGGTAGCTTATATGTCTAAGTAGTTAGATAATCTTCGAGTTAGTTTAGTATTGGGATCATCTCTCCATTTATAAGAGAATGATTTGAATTTTCTAGCGAGTCTAGTGCTTGTGGGGTTGAGAATGTGATTGTTATGGAAGATAAATAATCCATATTTATATACATACAATCCAGGTTGAAAGAACCATGCTAATTTTAGTTAGAGTAATAATAATGGTGGAAATTAATAAAATGCAAGTCAGCCTAATTCTATAGTACATTGGAATAACCCTCAACAGTCTGTAGTGAACCCTAGAACCTTTTATCCCCAAGCTTTAATGAGAATAATCAATTCAATGGAAGACACCTTTGGAAGATTTAGTGCTTCAGATGGGAAACCAATTATAGAGCCAAAATGCTACACTTAGAAATATAGAAAACAAAATAGGCCATCTTACTATTTTGATTAATAGTAAATCCCATGATGATTATGCTAATCTTCATGATAAGAATTTGGAAGAGCATTACAATACTACTCTGCTAAGAAGTGGAAAAGATTTAGGAGACTCTTATAAAAAAAGATTAAACTCATGAGAAAATTATGGTAGAAAATCCTATAGTGCCTGACTCACCTAAGGAATAACCAAAACCTATTAAAGAAGATAAAAGACTTATTAGCAAAGTTGTAGAGCATCCACCACCACTCTTTTCTTAGAGACTAATTAAACAAATATGGATAAATAATTCTCTAGGTTTTTGAAAGTATTTAAAAAGTTAACTATTAACATACCATTGTTAGAAGCCTTAGAGTAGATTCCCACTTATGCTAAACTTATGAATGACATCCTTAATAAGAAAATAAAACTATGGAAATTTAAAATCGTAGCATTAACTAAGGACTATAACACTATTATAAAAAAAA